CATCCTGCCACAAGAGTCAGCGCAGGCCGAATGAAACTGAGGCGGTCGATCCAATCCTCGGGTCATGCAAGGCCTGGATTCAAACCGGCATGCAATCGCCGCACTGCGAATAAAAATATAGCGTGCTGCGTATTCTTGGAACCAGACACTGCACTCCGCAATCTCATTGATACTAAGTACTTTTTGGCATCGGATGTCTCATTTCCTCGATATATTAGCATTGTATCAAAATGGTTTCTTTTGCTTTGGCCATTTGGCCATTCATTGCCAGAAATATTATCGCGGGGCCTTACGTGCTGGTGACCTTATTTCCTTTCTCGGATACTATCTGCAGCATTTCCGTTCTCAGATTCTTTGCTGGTGGGGTGGATTAACTGGGCGCTGAGCGACCTCAGAACTCTGGAACTCTTGTTGGATGTTGGACTTAGCAAGTTTGGAAGGGTCTGGACGAGACTTTCCGTCCTCGTATATCTTCGTACATTAGCATCCGGATTTACAGCTAAATTTTATTCTCATTCACAATGTAATTTTGATTGTATTATGAGAAACAAACCCACGCTCAGGTTGCCAGCTTCATGGAAATATGGTTATCAAATCGGTTTGCTGTAGGTTAGTAAGCATTGTTCACATCCAAGATTCCCCCCCCAGCGGGGCCAAGGTTGTGGAGCAGTGTTCCATCACCAACTCCAACCAAAGTTCTGTTCTCTAGAAGCTCCAACACCAGAATCCTTGACAGCGAAATTCAGTCAAACAATAGTGGTTCCAACGTTCTGAGGCACAACCTCAATGCCGGACTTCAAGATCTCGGCTGCTTTGGAGGGCCACTCCGATGATGTAAGTGCTAACCTTTCATACCTCAATCAATGGCCGCCCTTTCGAATGGGAAGCTAATAATACTTTACACAAAGGTCCGCGCAGTGGCCTTTCCCAACCCCAACACTGTCTTGTCTGCTTCCCGGGATGCGACCGTCCGTGTGTGGAAACTCACCTCTACTCCACCTCCGTTATATGACTATACGATATCTTCTCACGGGTCCGCTTTCATAAACTCCTTAGCCTATTATCCTCCATCCTCCGACCACCCCGATGGCTTGATATTATCTGGTGGCCAAGATACCATTATTGAAGCGCGCGAGCCCGGGAAACCTGCTGATGCAAATGCAACTGCCATGCTCCTTGGTCATTCTCACAATGTATGCTCCATAGATGTCTGTCCTGAAGGCAAGTGGGTAGTGAGTGGGAGTTGGGATTCCTCCGCAAAGTTATGGAAAATTGGGAAGTGGGAATGTGAAGTCACATTTGAAGGTCACCAAGGGAGCGTCTGGGCGGTGCTGGCTTTTGACCAAAACACTATAGTAACTGGTATGGGCGGTTTCTATAAGCAGTAGTACATCTTGATGTATCAGATGGATTCAGACTGACTATATTTAGGATGTGCTGACCAAAAAATCCGCATTTATAGCTTGTCGGGGCAACTATTGCGAAGTATGAGGGCAGGTGACGTTGTTCGTGCCCTCTGCAAACTTCCTCCAAACCACCAGTCGGGCAGCCAAATAGCGTCGGCGAGCAACGACGGCATTATACGATTATGGACCCTCCAAGGTCTACAAGTCGCAGAACTCTGTGGTCATGAAAGTTTCATCTATGCATTAGCCACTCTACCCTCGGGAGAAATCGTTAGCTCAGGCGAGGACCGGACCGTCAGGATATGGAATGGCGATCGGTGTATACAGACAATTACACACCCAGCAATATCTGTCTGGAGTATTGCAGTATGTCAAGAAACTGGTGACATTGTTAGTGGGGCTAGCGATAGAGTTACTCGAGTTTTCAGTAGAGCTCAAGAGCGTCACGCAGATCAATCAGTTATCGCGCTGTTTGAAAATTCCGTCAAGGAATCATCTATCCCTCAGCAGCAGGTTGGTAATATCAATAAGGAGAAGTTGCCGGGCCCAGAGTTTTTGAAGCAAAAATTGGGGACAAAAGAGGGCCAAGTTCAAATGATTCGCCAGGATGACGGGAGTGTCACTGCTCACACCTGGGCAACAGCCACGAGGGAATGGATATCTGTGGGAACTGTCGTTGACTCTGCAGCCAGCAGTGGCAGAAAGGTGGAATATCTTGGGCAAGACTACGACTATGTTTTCGATGTCGATATTGAGGATGGGAAGCCTCCCCTGAAACTTCCTTATAACCTCTCGCAAAACCCGTACGAAGCAGCTACCAAATTTATACAAAATAATGAATTACCGATGGGATATCTGGACCAGGTTGCCAATTTCATCACTACAAATACACAGGGAGCTTCCATTGGCTCTTCAACAACACAAAGACAGGGTCCACCGCCGCCAGGATCCGACCCATGGGGCGAAGAGAAAAGATATCGGCCTGGGGATGGATCATCAAACAACGCTTCATCCTTTCCCGCAGCTCGCCCGAAAGTCTTACCTCAAACATCATACCTTGCTATAAAAACCGCGAATATCAAAACCATTCAGAAGAAGGTCCAAGAATTGAACGAGCAACTCGTTAGCTCTGGATCGAAGGACATCTCGCTAAGCCCTTCTGAAGTGGAGACTGTCATAGGCCTTTGCAATCAGTTGGATCAGACCCCCCCGTTGAAAGAATCGCCTCAAGTCGAATTCGGAATCCCACTGGCCGCCAAGATAGCAACTACATGGCCCATTGCTAACCGGCTTCCCGGTCTTGATCTACTTCGTCTACTCGTTGCTGCAACGCCTGCGGCAGCCTCAACAGACTACGGTGGTTCCGACCTGATTTCAGCACTTATCTCTAGCGGCGTGTTCAAGCCTCCCCTCAACGTAAATAATGCAATGCTAGCAATTCGGACTTTTGCAAATTTATTCGAAACCGATGCTGGCCGGGCACTAGCAATTAGCAAATTTAGCGACATCATGACGCAAGTTAGGTCTTTGGCGAATGCTGGGGAGACACCAAATCGCAATTTAACCATCGCCATTGCGACCCTATACATTAACCTTTCCGTCTTCGTTACAAGTGACGGGAGAGCTTCGAGTCCGGAATCTGCAGAGAAGGCTCTTTTACTCCTCGATGAATTAGGCAAACTTCTAATAAAGGAAAAAGACTCTGAAGCTATATATCGCGTCCTTGTTGCGTTGGGTACTCTAGTTACGGCACTTGGCGAAGAAGTGAAGACTGCCGCGAAAGAAATATATGGTATCAACACGGCACTATCTAAAGTTATCAGTAGTGGATTTGGGAGGGAACCGAGGGTCAAAAGCGTTGTTAACGAAATCAGAAGTGCTCTCGAGTAAACAGACACCGCTTTCTTACTAGAGGAGGTTTGTTCCCCTTTCATACCCCAACATCCTCCCAGCCCGGTTTCAACTGCAATATTGTAGATTTTTTTTTTTTTTTTAATTTTTATTTCTGTGTTTTTCACATTTCGTACCACGATAATAGATGCTAGCAGAAGAAACAAGCTATTTCAAAGGGATGATGATGTATAATACCTACTTCTCGTAAAGCCATTTCATGCCTTTATAACTTCCCTTCCCCATTAACATCCACCTCAACAATCTGCTCTACCCCGGGATATTCAGGGATATCCAAGCCATACCTCTCCACAACACTCTTGGTCAAAAATCTGTCGCTCAGAAAGTGCCTTCTCTTAAACCATTTAATCAAAGGCTTCGCAGCTGTCAGGCTGATCAGCGTTTGCGGCATAAATTTTGCTCCGGGTCTTTCCTTCGGTGGGCCAGCTTCTATATCTCATGAGCTAGGGGCATCCACACTCAGGACGGGTACCTGGGTTTCCTCTATGAGGGAGATTACTTTGGGGAACGGGTCTCGAAGCGGTCTCGAGAAGGAGAACCCGAAGATTGCGTCGATTACCAAATCACTAGTTTGGAGGGAACCTGGAAAGTCGCTTGTGAATGGGACCGAGAGGTTGTGAAGTTGGGTTTTCAGGCGCTATGTATTGTGGTTTCCCAGGTTAGGTATTTCTTAGAGGCATTGGGCAATGCGCGGGAATCACCGTATGTTGTAGAATTACAAACCTCGTATAATTCATTCTTGCCTTGTTTCGGGTAATATACAGTTGGTTTATATCCGTAGTGTGCAAGATGACGAGCGGCAACAAGCCCATCACCCCCTGCGCGAATTACAAATCGTCGGTCAGTTTAATACCGCAGACTGCCAATGCGATTGCACTGCTATCAAGGTCTTGAGATAATGTATTCGAAACAAGCCATCTCGAATTCCGTACCGTTATTTCCCGGGCCACAGGCTACGAGAACATTCCTTCCTTTGGATGGAGGATGAACTCGATAAACTTCCATCCAATAAACATAGCTAGTCAGCCATTCAGAACTAGACCCTGGACATAAATACGAGAAATCCTCAGTTGGACATAAAACCATACCAGCCTGTGATACAGAAAGCCCCGCCAGCTCCATTAATTGATCTAGGGAGAAACCTCCTTCATTCATGAGGTCCCTGTCAAGAGACGCCGCATCTTTTGCGTTGATGGTCTAATGGGCCAATATCAGATATAATATATCTTTCAAGGGGAGACAGGGCCAGAAGTATAGATAATATATACGAACTCTGAGCGTCATGGCTGTGAGATTTCTATATCGTCGGAAATGGGTCAGTAATCCACCACCTCGTTGGATTCGGTACATGTAAGGTATTAGATAGTAAGTAAATTGTAGGTAATTTATAGGTAATTTGTCGCCCTGCAGTTTTCAGGGACTCCTAATATAGATGCTAGAAAATGAATTGTTCATGACCTGCTTGTTCATGCTCTTGGATGACGTCGTTTGGGGGGTAAGGTTGCTGATGTAATGATCTTCCGCATTGATGGATCGCATTGCTCGCTCTCTCTATATATCTCTCTATGATGTATGAAAGATGGTTCTATGTTTGCTGATGCTCTGGGAGACACCTCATTTCGGAGATTGCTCACTGCCGTGATAGCTACGAGTACTGACCCTTTCAATTGACTAATCTGTACATAGGGGTTTTATATAATTGCTCAAATATTAAACGAAAAATGGCCAAAAATAGCAACCTAAGATCCCCATTAGCCTAGACACATCCAATTCATCAACTAGTACACATCGATTATCATTTATCGCAAAAATGTCCAGGGTCTGGCGAAAATAGTATCCTGTCTCTTGCGCTGTTGAATGTGGTGTTGTAAGTCATATTATTCGCATTATTATTTCTCCGTATCCGCCAAAATATCTAAGAGCGCTTGAACCTTACCACCGATGCAATCCCGCAAGCAAGGGCCTGATTCCGATCCGTCGCCGGGCTTTTCTATGCTCACTATCCTCCTTTATAATGGTCGTCAAAATTCGTTTATCCCGTTTCGGGAACCGTCACCAACCCTTCTACAACATTGTCGTGGCGCAAGCACGGTATGTGAAGGCTGAAATCGCATCCCAACCCCCGTAGCCCAGCACACAGCTTTTCCTATTCCGCTGATTTCAACTTGGTCTCCTCTCTCCTGAAGATGGAGATTTGGGACTGGAGGGGTGCTCAAGGGCTGAGATGTGGGAATGTTTGACTAACCTTGTTTTTCGTGCTTTGTGATGCAGGTCAGCGCGAGACTCAAAGCCCCTGGAAGTTATCGGAACCTACAGCCCCATCCCCAAGATACCAACCGGCCTTTCGGAAACGGAAGCCAAGATAGCAAAACCCTTCAAAGATATTGCGCTTGATAGGTCGCGGACGAAATACTGGCTGGGTGTTGGTGCACAACCGAGTGAACCTGTGTGGAGATTACTGAGCTTGGTATGTCCTACGTCGTGGTTTCTCTGAATGCGTTCGATTATTTTGATCCTCTGCATAATTCCCCAGTGGCAGTGCTATGCTGGACTGTGGAGGATTCTGAATGCAGAGAGTGAAGTTTTAGCAACCTGATTTCTGGATTGACCTGTTTGAGACCGACCTCAGCCTTTCATTTTACCTTCCATTTCAATGTTAAATCACAACAGATTACGTGCGGATTCCTAATACATCGTGCATAATAGGTTGGGCTCGTTGAACCTCGACTCGGCAAAATGCGGACAAAAAATACGGCGGAAAATGCTATACAATAATGATAACCTCCCCCGTGTCTTGAACGAAACATTTTATGCCTGTAGCAGCCAGGCTGGATTGGAGCCTTTGCTCTACTGGCTCGCCAAGCAATCGGAGAGCTAGAAAATTGGAATTGCCCAACAGCAATATTTATGCGCAACAGATGGCTGGGTACAAAATTTAGATACCTCCTCTCCTACTGCATACACGCATGTACAAAGCATACATTTTCTCGAGAGGGTAATTTTCATCATTTTACGGCGTTGAGGCCTCTTTTATATTAACTCTCTTGGTTTCGGGTATCCTTTTTATATGTGTATATAGAAAGTTGGATTATTGAATTCAATTGTATGATAGATGGATAGTTATGCCAGGTGGGGGATATTTATGTAGAAAGAAGGCTGTGTCATTCATTAAGATAAGTTGTAACGCAAAAAGATGGCAAAAACAGATACATGAACTATTATTGAAACAGCTGTATCCAAATAGTTGTGGACAGAAGTGCAGGCATAAATGCACGTAACTTCAGATTCAATATCAGATGAGCACCAGGTAAGGAGAAACGATAAAGGAAAATATATAGAATATAGGGAAATAACTGATATACCCCTTCAGAAACAAGTTTGATATTTGTCATATTGAAATTTCCAGGGAAAGTCGGGAGGTCAGAGCATTGAAGTACGGCATACCCAATTAGAGAGGGCGACCTGAAATGAGTAGAGCGCCCGAACTGGATGGCAAAATCGTTAAATGCTTGGAGTGATTATTTAACGGATGGCGTTAGCCGGGCCAAGCGGCTTCTAGTTTTTAATCCTCACATTTCGGTTAAAGCTTTGTCTCTAATGCGGTATTTTGAAACGTGGGTTCTGTTTTGTAGAAGACGAAATGATTGAATATTCCGTAGGTTCACTCTCTCGCTCGGTATGGGAAACTAAAGACCAGACTTTCAAAACTAATTCGCTGCGTAAATGGGAAAATGGAAATGAGGATTCCCCTAATGGTTATTAAATTTAATATTGTTGTGGTTGATTAGGTGCGGTAAACCCTGGGCTTGGTGGCCCGAACCCCGCTCCCATGCTGCTGTCCTTGAGCAAAGGAGCATCCATATTTGTTGTGTTTGCGTCTCCAAATTTGGACATCATCACCGGATCCTTTGCTCTGGGAACTGGACCATCAACAGCAATCATCTTAAACCCAACGCTACTGTTCCATTGCTTTGAAGGCCCTTGAGGATCAGCTTGGTTGGGATATACAAAGCTGGCCATTATGCGACCAGCAGAAGTATAGAAAAGATACTTTCGCATCCTAGATGGCCTTGCACGACCAAACACGCACAGAAGGCATGTTGTGGATGCGATCACAACGGTGAAAACTAGTGCGAGGATGGCAGGAATAGCGAATTTCAAATTGTACTTGACAACTCTTCGGAAAATGACCACTGGAACTTCGCGTAGGTCATTGACTTCCGGTCGAGTCGAGCTCTGATCATCATGTTTAACAATACTCTTTCGATCTTGAGAAAACCAGCCTTTGGTTCCTACAACTGCGTTCGCGGCAACGTCTGTCCAAACTAAGTTGATGATCCTCGCTGTGGTGTTTGCTTTTTCGGACAATTCCTGCCATTTTGAATACATAGCAAGGTTTGTTGCCCCAGAATAGTCGCTTACTCCGGATGGTGGGCTTGTGCTTATATCGTAAGCCGTTTGGAATCCGCCAGTATGGAAATACATACCCGGTAGATTTGAGTATCCAACTGGTGAAGTACCAAAACGTCCCGCGTATCCGGGGAGCCATAAATATTCCTTTTGAAGGACCGAAAGATCGTCTCTTCCCTTATTCTGATCTGACACCAGACCCCACAGAGGCAAAACTTCATCCAAAATCTCTTCAGAACGCTCAACGCCCCAAAGAGGTTTGTCGGTATCCTTCGCATAAGTCTTGTCACGGATACTGCGAATTGCAAGGCTATTAAGTCCGTCCGTGCCGTTAAATCGGAAGTCGACCGTCTTTATCACAGCACGGGCCGCAGACGCACAACTATACATAGGCACAGTCCAGGTAGAGCCCGGTTCAAAAACTAGGGAACGTGATCCATCGCTTCGTCTCGCAGCTCCAAATGCCATCCCACATACTACACCAATATTCGTAATATTTGCATAGTCAAGGCCACCGGCTCCCTGACACAGAACCTCTACGAAATTGTTAGTAGTCTTATCGCTGTTCGTTGAGAATAGACGGAAATAGCGTACCTATGGAGGTAAAGTTGCTTGTGGTAATATCGAAAGGGTTAGGGTAATCATCACCTGAACCCGTACTATTAAATGTGGAATTAAAGCCAGCGAATTTAAGCGATAGATAGCTGCCCCAGGTTTGGTCCGTAAGGAATCTGTCAGCTTTTGCCCCTATGTTTCCTTCCAAAGTGAATGTCTTGTTGATTTCCGAGTTCATATAGGAAAATGGTTCTAAATCCTTAGTTCTTGGATTAGAAACGTTGAGGTAGATCATAGTGAGCGCATTGTTGAGGAACGCGGCCTTGTACGCCCTCCCATAAAAATCAGGATCGGCCTGGCTGTTGAGTCGGTCGTATTCAGGATAAGTGGTATTGAGATTTACAAATCCTCCACGATCGGTAAGCACTAGATCCTCGATAGAGCTAGGGCCAGTGAGACCAATTCTGAAATCCATTGTCAAATTAGTATCGATACACACTGTATGGGGTTCAACAAAGAGCAGATCTTCCGACCACTTGCTGCCATGAGGTAGCGGTGATGGAGTAGTATGATTTCGAAATCCAATGCCACCGTTTTTGGTATCGACGATGAGGCCTTCCACGTTATCATACGCATTATTCAGAGCCAGAACACCCGCCTGTCGAGTATTCTCCGACTAAGAACTTGGAACCGTTGTTGACAATATCTTCTGATCTGATTCCATATGACCGCCATTCAATATCGAAAAGGCTAGAAACAGTGGGTGACAGGGACTTCAGCCCGCTCTGGAACGTTTCCATGACTTTAGGCGGGATTCGCGCATCGTAGCCGTATGGCAAGTATTGCGTACCATTTCGACGATTTTCGATGACAACGTCTGAGCCAGGACAAGTAGTGCGTCCAATTTTGCCACAAAAACGGTTAAACCCAAGGTCACTCCTTGGAGGTGTTCCAAATCCAAATGGAGATTGGTCCTTGGAATATTGAAATGGTTCCAAAGATGTTGCATGATCAGGAACAATAGCATCATACAGGCCTAAAGGAGTGACAATTGCTGCAATGGCAACAACTCCAAGGACCAGAGGTCTCATCAGCGCTTCAAATTGAACAACTCTGCTCACAGGACCAGAGGTTACGGTGTCCGCATGGACAAAGGTCGGCCAATACGTCGAATGTAAAGCGCGGGCTACTTGAGTCCTACTCGCGTGGATGAGCATTTGATGCAAGTCAGAGTTATCTGGTGCCGAGAAGCCTTACCATGTTGCGGCCGTATTTTCATCTCGCAAAAGGCCACTTAAAATGAGAGAAGTTGCCGTTGGAATGAAACGCTGAACTGGTAACAAGTCAGTTAGGAGAAGATTCAGAAGGGGAGAGAGGCTGCTTGGCCCATTGGTAGCAAATACTTACTAATAAAAATTCCAGCAGCGATGATTCCAGACACATAACCAATTGTCAGCTCCACCATTTTCGAGATTGGTTTTTGGGACAAGCACGAAAATCCGAATATCGAGAAGAAATCGCGTTATCCAGTGAATGCAAGAAAAGATAAAAGAGGGGCTGAAGAGAGCAAAAAGGAAACGAGTGACTTGGGCTCCAGGTGCTTTATGAAGAGTTACTTGATCAAACGAATGGATGCATGGCAACACGCTTCGCGTCAAGGGAAAGACTGGCTCCTCCACAGAAAGTGAAGAGGGGGGATAAATGTTTGAGAAGGGAAAAGACGAGATGGATGAAGAGCTGGGTGGCTTGATATTTATTAGTGTGAATTAAGGTCGCCCAAATCTCGTATTTTGGCGTCCTCCTTAATTTTAGCTCCAATCGACCCCCGGAAATGTGCTTGATTGTCGACGAAAGTGAACAACAAAGACGGCACCACTCCGGCGCTTATCAGAGGTGAAGAAATTCTCATCTCCGTCAGCAATGCACAGCACCGACTGTTCTCCAGTGAATTTTGCTGATATTGTCAGAAATGCCGAGAGTCGAATACGTTTCTCGTGTTGATTGGATCTCAACCTTTCAACTCACGGGTCTGTCGATTCATCCCACGCTCTTCTGATGCTACCCTCTGTACGGAGTATCTCCACCATCTTCAACAAAGGCAACAGTCTTTCTGCCTAACCGAGCCAACGTGAGCCGGAAGAAGAAAGAAAGGAAATTCAAAAATGGAGCATGTGTCAGATGTCTGCGTCCGCTGCTCAGTGACGAATGTCATTGCAAGCCATACCTTGTTGCCATTACTTAGATTTCAGGATTTGTTAGAAGAGCATTGGTTTGGGTGGAGTGGCCTTCTCATAATGTGAACTCGTGAAGACTTCATAGAATTTCTTTGGTGGAGGGAGGAGGAAAACAAAAATTTCGTCGAAACCGTTCATCATGGACATCCATCCCCCTTGTCGTTGTCCCGTATCCTGTTCAGCTCGAGTCGCTTCAAAAAAAAGTCCTTCAGCGATGAGGCTCAGCTCTTTGTATCCAGTGCTTAGGCCATATGATTATCGCCAGAACTTCCCGAGCGAACCAAGGAGAATACGAGAATGATTCACAGGATTGAAAGCACTTCTGATGCGGTCTGTCCATCACAGCCCACTTATCCCGAATCAAGCGCAGAATACTCCGTAGCGTGTCAGAGATCCAGGACGCTAGACCCCGATAGAGCCTTCCGCTGTGTGATCTTGTGGGTTTCTTTTTTTGAGGCTTCGTTGGAGGTTCCGATCGGCATCCCAGGGGAAGCGAGGCGGCTCTGCGATTGACGTCCAAAATTTCGGGTGGGAGAACTAACTTGATCAAATACGGAATGGCGGCTTGGCATGTCCCACTTGGCCGTGGTTTCTCAGCCGAAACACGGACAGTCACAAATTTCCCGATCGGTGACATGCGCTTGTTGACAGGTCATTTTTGATTTTGACTTCTCCTGTGATGCCATATTTCCTCTACCCAATCCTCCTTATCTTGTGTCATGTAGCCCATCTGGGCAGCGATAATTGTCAACAAAGGTGCCAACAGACTATTCCCCTTAACACTGCTCAACTCACCAAGATCATCATCTTCTCATTCCTTTCCCTTACCCCGCAGCGTTGGGCATGTCAATTAGGTGATGGTCAAGGGATTCCCACCTTTCAGATACTTTTGTCCCGATGTATCAAGTTCCCTCTCATATGTATTTTCTATGCCCACGGTTCCGTGATGCACTTAGTTTCGTATCATAGATCAAGGCATGAAAATTATCCAGCCAAACTTCCTACTGATTAATCTTACACATTAGCCCAAGAAGCTCTCTTTTATTTACCTGTTGAATCGTTGCGTTGAGCAATGAACTTATATATGCTGTCTTTGTTTATATTTTATATCTTCTGTATTGACATCTAATGCTTCCTTATTTCCCATTCGTGACAGA